TCTTTTTTGTTTAAATTTTGCATAAGAATTTTATTCTGAATTTCTTGAAGTATGCTAAGATTTTAAAACTCTTCAATTATGATTTCATTTATGATTATGTTACAAAAGTTTTAGTTTTTAATAAATAGTTGTTAATTTTATAAAAAAATATAGATTATTAGCCAAAGTTTTAAAGATTTTTAAATTAATTTTCTGAGTTTTTAAATATTTGTTATATTTAGTAAAATATATATAATATATATAATAGTAAATATATATAATAGTAAATATATATAATATATATAATAGTAATATATAATATAATATATTTAATCTAACATTAGAATTTTAACAAACATTTAAATTTTTAAATGTTGGAATATTGTTAGATTTTGTATGGGCGGTGGAACTAAATCGATTTGGTTTGGAACTAATCGGTTTATGGCCCAATACCAATAAGGCTGTTAAAAATACCTTTATTTCCGATCTTCGTATGGGCATGATTTTCTTTGTAGTAACTTTTCTGTCTGTTGTTCCTCTTTTATGTTCCCTTGTACAAGTTTGGGGTGACATGATACTAATAGTAGACAATCTTCAAGTTACTTTACCTTTAACTGTAGTTTCGTTGAAACTTGTTGTTATGCGATGGAAACGTACAGGTATGTGTAAAATTATTCATTTTTACATTTTTTATTTCCTGAATTATTTTAAAATCACATAATTATATTACCAATCACGCTAAAAATAATGGCACATGCTTCGTAATATAATTATTTGAATTTATTTCATATAGAATTTCGCACTTAAGATCCTACTTCCGAAGAATTGGCTATGCTTTTTTTCAGTTGTTTATTAGTATTCGGCTTATACTAATATATTGAATTATTTTATTGTTTCTGATATCTGAGCCTTATTTTGATATATTATTCATTTACTATCTGAGATTGATAGAAAATGAATCAATAAAGCATTTAGTTTATTAAGGATAAATAATTGTAGAGCTTATTGTTATAAGTAGATTGACACTTTTTATGTAGTTGATATACGTTTATATTTTCAAGCTGTGTCACACATTGTAAAAATGATGGCGGAAGACTGGATGGGGTTAAAGATTGATGCAGAAAGGAATGTGATGCTGAGACAGGCGCGTGCTGCGCGATTGATCGTAACCTGTGGATACTTTCTAATGATATTTGTGTTTATTGTTCTTATTATTCTTCCTTCTTTTGGTCTACATTTCAGATATATAACAAATCATACTAATCACGAAAGACTATTGCCGTTTCAGGCGTATTACTTTTGTGATGTAGATAAGAGTCCACAATTTGAGCTCGCGCTTGTGGTTCAAGCTATGACAATGTTTTTCGGCGCAATAACTTATACGTCGGTAGACGCTTTTCTTGGACTTGCAATTCTTCACATCTGTGGTCAATTGGAGAACTTTAAATATCGATTAATCAATTTGGAGTCATCTGAAAACTTTACTCCTGCTTTGCGTAACTACGTACAGACTCATTTACGGTTAATAAGGTATTTTTGTGGATCATCACAATAGAGAAAAGAAACAGGATGATGTTACAAATTAAGTTAAAAAAATAAAATTGTATATACATAGATAAATGAAAAGTAAATTTGTAATAACAAATATACACAATGACGACATAAATGTAAAAATGTCAATTTTGTGTCTATTTGCATATCACAATATTAAATTAAACACATTTTGAGTGTAATTTTTTAATATATATATATTTTGTTCGTTTGAAAATAATATCTTTTTAAGCTTCTATTTACATTTATAGATTTGCCGCTAATATTGAGGATATATTTACTTTAATGATGCTGGGATTGGTTTT